GATCTATTTGGTTTTTAATTAGTTTTTTGTTTATTTATGAAATATTTTAGTTAGTTTTTAATTTTGGTTCTAGAACATCATTCCCGGGCCAGATTTTGAATGCCCGGAGCCAACTGTAGGCCATTTCGTGCTCTTCGTGTTCCCAGAACTTTACTCCCGGGCCACATTTTGAATGCCCGGAGCCAACGTTACGCCACTTCGTGCTCCTCCACTTCCCAGACCTCCAAGACTCATCATCTTCATCATCATCATCGTCCCCGTAGCCTTCTTGGCTACAGCCATGCTTTCGAAGATGTCCTTTCAAAGGAACCGCGCAGCTCCTACTGCACACCTTAATGCCAGGACGTGCTGATAGTTCTCGGTCTGGCGGCGGTGCTCCTGACCCTGCTGCATTGAACAGCGGTGCTCCTCAGCCTGCGGCAGGGAACAGCGCTGCTCCTCAGCGTGCTGCATTGAGCGGTCCTCTGCAAACGCTCGTCGAGCACGTGAAGCAGTTCGGCTGGATACCGAAACGAAATAAAGGAACGTCCGAACAAGAACGGGCCGAAAACAAGTTGGCCAAACGTTTCTCGGACCATCGCGACCGCATCCCCAAAAACATTTTGCATGAACTGCGGGCCCTGGGCTGTGCTGATCAGCAGACGGAGACCGAGGAACTCAAGCGGAAGCAGAAGACCGAGGAGCTCATGCAGCAAAAGCGAGACAAGACCGAGGAGCTCATGCAGCAAGTGCGAGATGACTCCAGAGGGGGGTCTGGGCAGATGCCGGGCGGGTGCCGCGGGAATCCGGGGACTCTTTTTTTAGCCAGCAGTAACGCACTTCGTGGTCTTCAAGTTCCCAGAACTCCATTCCTGGGCATGATTTTGAATGCCCGGAGCCAACTTTAGGCCACTTCGTGGTCTTCGAGTTCCCAGAACTCCATTCCTGGGGATGATTTTGAATGCCCGGAGCCAACTGTAGGCCACTGCCCGGAGCCAACTGTAGGCCACTTCGTGATTTTCGAGTTCCCAGAACTCCATTCCTGGGCATGATTTTGAATGCCCGGAGCCAACTGTAGGCTACTTCGTGTTCTTCGAGTTCCCAGAACTCCATTCCCGGGCCACATTTTGAATGCTGAGGCAGGCTGATGCTGAGGCTGAGGCAGGCTGAGGCTGAGGCAGGCTGAGGCTGAGGCCGAGGCTGAAGGCAGACTGAGGCTGAGGCTGATGCAGGCTGAGGCTGAGGCTGAGGCGGGCTGAGGCTGAGGCAGGCTGATGCTGAGGCGGGCTGAGGCTGAGGCTGAGGCTGATGCAGGCTGAGGCTGAGGCAGGCTGAGGCTGAGGCCGAGGCTGAAGGCGACTGAGGCTCGAGGCTTGAGGCAGCTGAGAGGTGAGCGCTGTGGCTGAGGCAGGCTGAGGTCTGAGGCGTGCAGGCTGATGCGAGAAGGCTGGAGGCTGAGGCTGATGCAGGCTGAGGCTCGATGGAAAGGATGAGGATGAGGCGAGGGATGAGGCAGGACATGAGGAGGAAGGCTGAAGCAGGCTGGAGGGGAGGCTGAGGCAGGCTGAGGGGGAGCTGAGGCAGGCTGAGGCTGAGGCTGAGGCTGAGGCTGAGGCTGAGGCTGATGCAGGCTGAGGCTGAGGCCGAGGCTGAAGGCAGAATGAGGCTGAGGCTGAAGCAGGCTGAGGCTGAGGCTGAGGCAGGCTGAGGCTGAGCCTGAAGGCGGGCTGATGCTGAGGCAGGCTGAGGCTGAGGCTGAGGCTCATGCAGGCTGAGGCTGAGGCAGGCTGAGGCTGAGGCCGAGGCTGAAGGCAGATTGAGGCTGAGGCTGAAGCAGGCTGAGGCTGAGGCAGAGGCAGGCTGAGGTTGAGGCTGAGGCAGGCTGATGCTGAGGCAGGCTGATGCTGAGGCAGGCTGAGGCTGAGCTGAGGCTGATGCAGGCTGAGGCTGAGGCAGGCTGAGGCGGAGGCCGAGGCTGAAGGCAGACTGAGGCTGAGGCTGAAGCAGGCTGAGGCTGAGGCAGGCTGAGGCTGAGGCTGAGACAGGCTGATGCTGAGGCAGGCTGAGCTGAGGCTGAGGCTGATGCAGGCTGAGGCTGAGGCAGGCTGAGGCTGAGGCCGAGGCTGAAGGCAGATTGAGGCTGAGGCTGAAGCAGGCTGAGGCAGAGGCAGAGGCAGCGAGGCAGCTGAGCTGAGGCTGCCGAGGCTGAAGGCAGGGCTGATGCATGAGGCAGGCTCAGGCTGAGGCAGGCTGAGGCTGAGGCCGAGGCTGCAGGCAGACTGAGGCTGAGGCTGAAGCAGGCTGAGGCTGAGGCAGGCTGAGGCTGTGGCTGAGGCTGAGGCAGGCTGATGCTGAGGCAGGCTGAGGCTGAGGCTGAGGCTGATGCAGGCTGAGGCTGAGGCAGGCTGAGGCTGAGGACGAGGCCGACGGCAGACTGATGCTGAGGATGAAGCAGGCTGAGGCTGAGGCAGAGGCAGGCTGAGGCTGAGGCTGAGGCTGATGCAGGCTGATGCTGAGGCAGGCTGAGGCTGAGGCTGAGGCTGATGCAGGGTGAGGCTGAGGCAGAGGCAGGCTGAGGCTGAGGCTGAGGCTGAGGCAGGCTGAGGCTGAGGCAGGCTGAGGCTGAGGCTGAGGCAGGCTGAGGCTGAGGCAGGCTGAGGCGGCTGAGGCAGGCTCAGGCTGAGGCTGTGACTGCGACTGCCGTTGCCACTGCGACTGTCATCGCGAATGAGACTACGACTGCGAGAACAACAGAATTCTACAACTGGATTCTCATCTGAATCTTAAGGGGAATGCTCCCAGATATGCTCTTACACATCGCTGTTAGGTAGCTTTGCCGGGATAATCCCACCAGCCCTCTGGGCGTAGGTGGTCTAGAGCAGATCCTCTTCCACCCCTCCCTCTTCCCCCTTGGGGAGGGGTTTACCCCTCCCCCTACCCCCTCCCCTGGACCTGGACGGGGGGGGCCGCTGGTAGTTAGAGCGTCCAGATGGCCCAAGACGGCTCCAAGAGCGCCTCAGAGAACCCAAGATGAGCTCCAAGATGGCTCAAGATAGCGCAAGATCGCTCGAGATGGCTCCTAAGATGGTTCCAAGAAGCCCAAAGACGTCCCCAAGATAACTCCAAGTGGCCAAACAGCTCCCCAAGGAGGCCCCGAAGAGGCCAAAATCGTCCCAAAACCTAAGGAAAATCAATGATTTTTGCTTTCTCTCCTTTTCGCTTCCGATGGCCATCCGAGGCCTGGAGATGGTTCCAAGATGGCCCAAGAGGGCCCCAAGAGAGCCCCAAAAGAGCCCCAAGACGGCCCCAAGTGCGCCCAAGAGCACTCCAAGAGCGTTCCAAGAGGGGTCCAAGAGGCGATTTTAGGGGCTTCCGAGGGGGGGCGCTAATTCACCCCCCCCTCTTGTTTGATCAACTCCCTCCAAGATGGCCCCAAGAAGCGCCCAGGAAGCCCCAAGAGGTCCCAAGATGGCCCCAAAATGGCCCCAAGAGGCCCCCAAGAGGCCCCCCGGAGGCCCCCAAGAGACCCCCAAGAGGCCCCAAGAGCCCCCCCAGATGCACCCAAGATGCTCCAAGAGGCCTCGGCGAGAATGCCTAATCATTGATTCTACACAGGTTTTAGCCACATGGAGGCCTCTTGGGGGGGGGCACGGATTAAGATGACTCCAAGAGCGTCTGGGAGAGCCCAAAATGACCTCCAAGATGGCTCAAGATATCCCAAGATGTCTCATAATGGCTTCCTCTGTGTGCTGCCCACTTCTCTGATCGAGGCAATTCCTCTGGGCATCGTTTCTGGATGGGCTGGTGGGGATTCGCGAAGCGACAACAATTGAAGAATGCCGGCGTGCGCTCGCGACGCTGCGCGCGTGTCGACTGTGCGTCTGTTCTGGAAGGGGCGTTTGAACGCTGGTGTTTTGTCGCCAGCGAGTGCGCGCGCATGGTGTTATTTGACAAGGGTGAGGGGGCGGGGGCGCGAAGGGGCCCAGCTGGGATAGTAAGAACTCATATGTGGCAAAATCAGTGGGATACAGCTCGGAGTGAACAGAAATGAGCGATGTGGCAGAAGCATGTGTAAATTGAAGGCCTGTGGGGTTTGAGCTAACTCCGGGTGTGGAGGGCTGCGGTGGGTGGATCGTGGAGCGCGTGCGTGCGTGCGTGCGTGCGTGCGTGCGTGCGCGTGTGTGTGTGTGTGTGTGTGTGTGTGTGTGTGTGTGTGTGTGTGTGTGTGCGTGCGTGCGTGTGTGTGTGTGTGTGTGTGTGTGTGTGTGTCCGAAGCCTTTGGCGCAAGCCGCTCTGGCTCGAGGGGGGGCGCAGCGGTCGCTGCCGCAGGGCCAGAGTTCGGCCCCGACCTCCGGCGTGGCCCGGTCGGGGGGGCGCCGGAAAGGGCGCCTCGTCTTGCCCCCCCCTCCCGGTGTTACGGCGGGCGCCCCTGCCCGCGGCGAAGGGTTTGCGGCGCGGAAGCGGCGACGGCGCCGGGCTGCTGCTGCCCGGGCGGCGGCGGCGGCGCCCGTGGCGCCGCGGCCGCCGCTGGCGCCGCTGGCGCGCTCCCCCGCCGCGCTGCCCCGCCGCCGCGCGCGGCTCGCTCCGCTGTCCGCCGCGCGCGGCCCGCGTGCGCCATGTGCGCTGCGGGCGCTTCCCCGCCTTGGCGGTCTTCCGGCGCTTCGGGCGCGCGGCGCCGCTGCCCGGCCTGCCGCTGGGCTGGGGCCGGCATCGCCGTGGCCGCCGCCGCGGCCGCCTATGTGGCCCCCCGCAGGCGCTGCGTCGCGCGGCCTGCCTGCGCGCCGCAGGGCCTGCCGCCGGCCCCCGGACCGCCGGCCGCCGCCGCCGCTGCGCTGCCGGGCGGCGGCCGCCGTGGCTGCCGCCACGCTGCCGCCGCCGCCGCCGCTGGCTGCTCGGCCCGAGCACCGCGGCCCAATGGCCTGGGCGGCCGCGCTGGGGCCCGCCGCGGGCGGGCGCCGGCCGCGGCGGCCGCCGCGGCCCAGCGGCCTCGGGCCGCGGGGGGCGAGGGGGGGGCGCCGCTGCCGCCGCGGCTGCGGCCACCGCCGGCGGCGCTCGCGGCCCTGCCCAGGGCGGCCTTGCCCCCGCAGGCCTGTGGGATGGCTTGATGAGGGTCGGAGATGCAAAGGGTGGCGGGCCCATAGAAATTTACGTTTCGCAAGCGCAGGCCCGCGGGCGCGCCTTCGGCGCGAGGCCCAACAATCGGGCATTGAAGGCCCGCTGTTTTATTGTAGTGGCCTCCGGCCAATGCCGCCGATCCGGGGCGCTCCAGATGATGATGCTGATGCTGATGGTGATGATGAATATGATGCTGATGATGATGATGATGATGATGATGATAATGATGATGATGATGATGGTGGTGGTGGTGGTGGTGATGATGATGATGGTGATGATGATGGTGGTGGTGATGATGCTGATGATGATGATGGTGATGGTGATGTGACGATGGCGATGGTGATGGAGATGGTGATGATCCTGGCCCTCCCCCACCCCCCTCCTGTCTCCTGTCCCCTCCCCTCTCTCCTGTCCCCGCCCCCCCTCTCTCCTGCCCCCCCCCTCTCTCTCTTGTCCCCCATTCCACAATTACACAATATGAAAATACTCTCCCACTTCCCCTGATGGCGTCCCGAAGATATCCGCCCCCCCCCCGCGTATTGTTTTTTTACACAGGATTCCCGGGAAACGGGTTTTCGTTTTTTTTTTTTTTTTTTTTTTTTTTTTTTTTTTTTTTTTTTTTTTTTTTTTTTTTTTTTTTTTTTTTTTTTTTTTTTTTTTTGTTCTCTTCCCAACCATCCTGTGGTGTTGGGTCCTCGTTTTGAAGAGACGGTGCCCGCGTCCTCTCCTCTCCTCCTCTTCCCCTTCCTCCCTCCTCCCTCTCATCATCATCATCATCATCATCATCGTCATCGTCACCGTCATCATCAGCATCATCATCATCGTTCTTATCACCATCGTCGTCATCATCATCGCCGTCTCCATCATGGCCACACGTTTCGTGGACCCATAGTGAGCTCCACCGAAGGCCCAAGTGTCAGGGTCCGCATGCGGTTCCACCTCCATTTCGGCGCACCCCTCACACGTTTCGTGGCCCCAAAGGGAGCTCCACCGAAGGCCCAAGTGTCAGGGTCCGCATGCGGTTCCAACTCCATTTCGGCGCACCCCTCACACGTTTCGTGGCCCCATAGGGAGCTCCACCGAAGGCCCCAGTGTCAGGGTCCGCATGCGGTTCCACCTCCATTTCGGCGCACCCCTCACACGCTTCGTGGCCGCATAGGGAGCTCCACCGAAGGCCCAAGTGTCAGGGTCCGCATGCGGTTCCACCTCCATTTCGGCGCACCCCTCACACGTTTCGTGGCCCCATAGGGAGCTCCCCCGAAGGCCCAAGTGTCAGGGTCCGCATGCGGTTCCACCTCCATTTCGGCGCACCCCTCACACGTTTCGTGGCCCCATAGGGAGCTCCCACTGGCGCCCCAGTGGCAGGTCCGGCAGCACCAGTTCCAACCTCCATTTCGGCGCAAACCCCTCACACTTTTCAATGCCCCGAAGGGGATCTCCACCGAAGGCCCAAGTGCCAGGGTCCGCATGCGGTTCCACCTCCATTTCGGCGCACCCCTCACACGCTTCGAGGCCCCATAGGGAGCTCCACCTGAGGCCCCAGTGGCAGGGTCCGCATGCAGTTCCACCTCCATTTCGGCGCACCCCTCACACGTTTCGTGGCCCCATAGGGAGCTCTGCCTAAGGCCTAAGTGGCAGGGTCCGCATGCAGTTCCACTTCCATTTCGGCGCACCCCTCACACGTTTCGTGGCGTCATAGGGAGCTCCGCCTAAGGCCCAAGTGGCACGGTCCGCATGCAGTTCCACCTCCATTTCGGCACACCCCTCACACGTTTCGTGGCCCATAGAGAGCTCCGCCTAAGGCCCAAGTGGCAGGGTCCGCATGCAGTTCCACCTCCATTTCGGCGCACCCCTCACACGTTTCGCGGCCCCAGAGGGAGCTCCACCGAGGGCGCCAATGGCAGGGTCCGCATGCAGTTCCACCTCCATTTCGGCGCACCCCTCACACGTTTCGCGGCCCCACAGGGTGCTCCACCGATGGCCCCAGTGGCAGGGTCCGCATGCAGTTCCACCTCCATTTGGCGCACCTCTCACACGCTTCGTGGCCCCATCGGGTGTTCCACCAACGACGATACTTACAACGGCGGCATTCGGAATTGCGTATGGTTGGGCCCTTCGCCAGGTTTTTTTTTTTTTTTTTTTTTTTTTTTTTTCTCTAAAATCTGCTGTCGTTGAGGCGCCGGCCTCATTTTCGGGCCCCGCTCGTTCCGAATCGTGCTCCCGCTGCAGCGCTGGCCTCATTTCCGTGCTTCCGCTCGTTCCGAATCGTGCTCCCGCTGCAGCGCTGGCCTCATTTCCGTGCTTCCGTCCGTTTCGACTCGTGCTCCCGCTGCAGCGCTGGCGCAATTTCCCGTGCCATGCCAAAACACACGCGCACACGCGCACACACGCACACACACCACCACCACCACCACCACCACCACCACCACCACCACCACCACCACCACCACCACCACCACCACCACCACCACCACCACCACCACCACCACCACCACCACCACCACCACCACCACCACCACCACCACCACCACCACCACCCCACCACCAGCACCAGCACCACACCACACCACACCACACCACCACCACAACCACGCACACACGCACGCACGCACGCACGCGCACCACCACCCACTACGCACGCGCGCGCGGAGCCACAGGTCCGCTACGACACGCGTCCGCGGATAGAGAAAATCAACGCCATGGTAAGGGATGGGGGGGAGGGGTAGGACGTCAGATATGACGCGAGCGCACCTAGCTTGCCTGCCCCCTCTCTCCTGCCCCCCCCCCTTCTCTCCTGCCCCCTCCCCCTCCTGTCTCCGGCCCCCTTCCTTTCTTTTCGGAGATGCAAGGGGTGGCGGGCCCTTGGAAAATTACGTTTCGCAAGCGCAGGCTCGTGGGCGCGCATTCGGCGCGAGGCCCAGCAGTCGGGCATTCAAGCTCAGCTGTTTTACTTCCTGGCACGTTTCCGTCGCGATGGCGTCTCTCGCGCGCGCGTGCGCGCGCTTTGCGCGCGTGTGATCCCGCGCGTAGAACTTAAGGCCGAACCGTTTTACCATTCGGGCGTCATCGTCATCATCGTCATCGCGATCGCCGCCACAATCAACATCTTTGCGTGTAGTTGCGCGCTCACGGGGCGAGGGCGCGTGCGTGCGCGCGTCTGCGTGCCGCGCGTCCGGACGCGCGCGTCTGCGAGGCCAGACGACAGGCGCGCGTCCGAACGCGCCGCGCGTCCTTCGGCGCCCTCCTCGGACACGAGTCTGCACGTTCCCTCCACGACTGCGCCCGCCCTGGAGGGGCTCGGTCGTCCGCGGCGCTAGAGCGACGACGACGACGGCGCTGACGACGCCGCCGCCGCCGACGCCGACGACGATGATGGCGTCGGCGACGGCGACGGCGACGACGACGCCCAGGCCTCCCGAGGTTCCCTTCGAGGTTTCCTTGGCATGCTTGTTAAATGCATCGGAGGCCCATGGAGGTCCATGGAGGTTTCCGGGAGGCTCGGGAGGTTTCTCTGGAGGCCACCGACGACGACGACGGCGACGGCGACGGCGACAGCGACGAGGCCGTCCAGAGGCCCGCGGGGCCCTCCTCTCGGAGGTCACCGCGGCGTTTTTTTGGACGTCCTTGAGGTCCCAGGAGGTTTCCCTGGAGGCTCGAGAACTTGCCCGCTGATTCTCCCGGATTCGCGCAGATTCTCATGGATTTTGTTGGGTTCCAGCAGAGGATCCTGGCGGGTCCTGCGGATTATCGCGGATTCTCGCGGATTCGCGTGGATTCTGCTGCGTTCCTAACAAGAGTTCGCGGTGGATTCTTGCGGATTCTTGCGGATTCTCGCGGGTTTTCGCGGATTCTCGCGCATTCTCGTGGATGCTCGCGGGCTCGGCTGTGTCGCGCGCCGCTCTCGGGCGGCGCGCGCGCGCGAGGCCGCGAGGGCAGCGGGCGGCGATGACCGTGGCCGCCCGCGCGTCTCTGCAGGCGATGGTGCCCGCCTGTGGGCGCCGGGCAGTGCCTGCTGTCGTTCCACCGGGCGCGTGCGATCGGTCGTGGCCGCCTGGCAATGCCAGTCGGTGCTTCCGCGCCTGCGAGCGCCGTTGCGCTCCTGCGAGCGCCTTCCCGGCTGCGCCTCAGAGCGCGTTCGCGCGCCTGAGAACGCCCGCGAGTTACCGCTTGTGGGCGCTTGTGGGCGCCCGCGTGGGTGCGGGGTTTGGCCGTCGATGCCGGATTTCTTATGGCTGCAATGGCTTCCCATTTGTCTCCCCATGGCCTCCGATGGCCTCCCGCCCCGCTGGCCTTGGGCGCCCGGGTCGGCCGTTGCTGCTGGCGCCCCCCCTTGGCAGAATGCAGTATCCAGTGGCCGTCTGGCTGGGCCTTCGCTTGTGCTTCGCCCGCCGCGGCTTCGCCCCCGTAGATTCGGATGGTTTCGCGCGCGTTGTTCCGATGCATTGTAGTTTTGGGCTAGTGCTCCGGATTTTAATATGCATATAGAAGACTCAATGAAAACTAGCCCCGCGCCAGACTCGAAAGCGCGCGGCCAGGTCCAATGTTGGCTTTCGGCGAGCAGCGCGAGTTAATATCGCCGTGTTGGTGCAAAATCGTCGCCGGCAACCCATCCGGTTTTGCCGGGGGGGCCCGGCGCCCCCCGCAATTCCGACTTGCGGCTTGGGTGGCTCCGCGCGGGGCGATTGGGCGCTGTGCGCGGGCTTTCCACCGCGCGAATTTGACGGCGAGGTGGGCGCGTTGGACCGGAATGGCCATGATTGCGGATGGCGGCGCGGGCAATTCCGCCCGCCTGCGCCTGACTGAGCTGAAGCACTGGGCCAAGTTGATGCGCGGCCGTGGATGTAGAGGGCAAAGCGAAGATTGGATTCTGCTGCCGTTTTTCGATATCGAAGAGGCGCATCCAAGGGCCGCGAAGGACGCCCTTTGGGAACTGCTCCAGAGGCGTGGGTGCCCCGATCCAATGGTGAAGGTGTGTGCAGCACTTCGCGAATGGACACAGTGCGCAGTTCGAGTGGAAGGCGGGCGGCGTCTCTCTACCGTGGCTCGGCGCCGCGACGCTGCGGCGACGGAATGAGTGGGGCCTGGCGTTCGTTGGCACTGTCGGGTCGACGGAAAATTGC